ACTATGGATCCCCGGCTGCAGGATCGATCTTCGAAAGCGCGCGCACCGTCGACGTGAAAAAAGTGACCGGTGGGTCCACGCATCGCGCGTCGTCGCGGCCGCGAACGGGCGCGCGCGTCGACGGGTCGCGCGCGTCGACGGGTCGAGCGAGCGATGCGCGCGGGGTCGGTGCCGGCGGCGGGTCGAGCCCTCAGGGCGCGCGCGCGGGCGCGCGCGACGGCGCACGGGAGGAAAACCCACGGCGGGCGCGCCGTCGTCGGGGTCCACGTGACGTCGACTCGAGGTCGGACGACGATCGCGGACGCGGCGGCGAGCGAACGGGCGAACGGGGGGACGGAGAACGCGCGGACGCCGGCGCGGGATGGGTCAAAGGGAGGCATCGCGCGAAGGAGCGAAGATTTTGGTCGATGGTACCTCGATTGCGTTCGAGAGTGTCAACTCGCGGATTACGGCCCGGCGCGAGGGACGATGGTGATCCGACCGTACGGGTACGCGATCTGGGAGGGGATTCAAAAGTACATGGACGCGCGGTTTAAGGAGACCGGGGTGCAGAACGCGTACTTTCCGCAGTTGATTCCGTACTCGTTCATCACGAAGGAGGCGTCGCACGTGGAGGGTTTCTCGCCGGAGCTCGCGCTCGTGACCAAGGGTGGAGGGAAGGATCTGGAGGAGCCCCTGGTGGTGCGACCGACGAGCGAGACGATTGTGAATAACATGATGTCGCAGTGGATTCAGAGTTATCGAGATTTGCCCATGCTGCTCAATCAGTGGTGCAACGTGCATCGATGGGAGATGCGCACGCGGCCGTTCATTCGCACGCTTGAATTTTTGTGGCAGGAAGGGCACACGGCGCACGCCACGGCGGAAGAGGCCGAGGCGAAGGCGATGGAGATGATTCGGGTCTACGCCGATTTTGCCGTGACGCAGGCGGCGATGCCGGTGATTCCAGGACGCAAATCTCGAGTGGAGTCCTTCGCCGGGGCCAACGTGACGTACACCATCGAGGCAATGATGGGCGATAAGAAGGCGCTCCAGGCTGGGACCTCGCACAACTTGGGAGATAACTTTGCCAAGGCGTTCGACACCACGTTTTTGAACGACCAAGGGGAGACAAAGTACGTCCATCAGAGCTCTTGGGGGGTGTCCACGCGCCTCGTCGGCGGCATCATCATGACGCACGGCGACGACGCCGGGCTCACGTTACCCCCAAAACTGGCACCGATCCAGGTCGTCGTCGTACCGATTTGGAAGAAGGACGCGGAGAAGGATGAAGTTATGGCGTCCGTGGACGGCATCATCTCTACCCTCGAGGGTGCGGGCGTTCGCACGCACCTCGACGCCGATCAGAGCAAGTCGCCTGGCTGGAAGTTCAACCAATACGAGATGAAGGGCGTGCCGATTCGCATCGAGGTCGGTCCGAAGGACGTTGCTAAGGGTGCGTGCGTCATTGCTCGTCGCGACGTTCCGGGTAAGGAGGGTAAGGAGTTCGGTGTCAGTGTCGAACCCGCCGCACTCGAGGCGAAGATCAAGGGCGTCCTCGACGATATCCAATCCTCCATGCTCGCCAAGGCGACTGCGTTCCGCGACGAGAACATCGTCGACGTGAAGACGATGGACGAACTCAGGGCGGCGATTGAGGAAGGCAAGTGGGCGCGATGCGGATGGGAAGGCACTGATGAAGAGGAAAAGGCAATCAAGGAAGAAACCGGCGCCACCATCCGATGCTTCCCATTCGACCAACCCACTGGCCCGCACGCGTGCCTGATGTCTGGCAAGCCCGCGAAGGAGGTCTGCATCTTCGCCAAGTCTTACTAGACGCAAAATCGCTCGTCTCGCTGTGTGATTATATTATTTTTACGCCGAGCGTGTCTCGATTCCACTCACGAAACAACTTTACAGTACTAACTATTCTCACTCGCATCGCCTACGCCGAGACTTGAGCAAGCATGGCGCTATCGGCCTTCGTTCGCGTCTCATGCGATTTGATCGCCTTCGCCAAGGCTTCGCGCAACTGCTGAAGCGGGCCATTCTGCGTGCATCGATCGCGAGCCTCGAGGATCAGATTCATTGGGAACCAGCACGCCCCATGAGCGGTGCGATCGATCGCGGAGCGCTTCGACCAAGAGGTTAACTCCTTGAGGGATAACTGTGCCGCTTCTTCCACGCGATTGAATTCAAGATAAACGCGCAGGAGCGCTGCCGGATTCGCACCGCGTCGCGCCATACCGCGACTCGTGAAGATCGATTCGGGATTGATGAAGCGCTTCACGAGCCAGTGCGGAAGCGCTATTCGAGGATCAATCGATAGGATCGACCGCGCAACCGCTTCGGACAGCGCAAAGTTGCGATCCGACGTGTCGAAGCGCTCCACGAATCGTCTGAGCTCGCTCCAGTACGAATCGATCGACGTCGCCACAGGATCGACGCCTATGAGACCCGCCAGAGCACGGTAATCTGACGCTTCTGCGTTCTCTTGCCTTGTCGCATCGTCTCGCTCGGCGAGCATGGTGGATTCGTCCCCGATCTGGATCATACTCGCGCGAGCCGCCATTGTGCCCGCAACGAGAGTGAGCGCCGACGTGAGTTTCTCACCGTCCAGCCATGCCGTGCAGAGCGTCGTCGCGGCGGTGAAGCAACCGTACTCGATCAGCAATCGACACAGCGATGGAATCACTTCGCGATCATTTCCCTCGAACCTGAGCGCGGAGATGTCGCATCCAGCGTGCAAAAGCTCGAGACGCGCCGCCGACAAGGCATACTCGGACAATACCGTCGCCAAAGGACTCTTCTTCGTGTCTTGACCGCTCGAGACGACGTTCGCCGCGAAAAAATCGTCGTTACCCTCCATGTGCGCATCCTCCGTCGTAGCGTCAAAGCTCACCGAGCAGGGATCAGAGAGGACCGTCAGGGCGTTTGCGGATGCGAGAAGCGCCGAGGACTGTCTGGAAAGAGCCTCGACGAGTTCCTCGTAACTCACGCCCGGTTTACGCGCCGTCTCCATCGTCGTCTCTCTCAGTCTATTCGCGAATGCGTGCATGGACACCGCGGCCTTCTCGGGATCCCCTCGGTTCAGGTAGAAACCATACAGAATTTCGCTCGGTGCATCGGTCTGCGCCGTCGATGCTCGCCCTTCGAGCGCGTTTACGACGGTCTGATAGTGTGGCCCATCGGTTTCGTCCAAGCAAAGCGTGCTCAAGACCGCCCCGCCGTTCTTCGCACCGGGTTCACATACGCTCGCTACTAAGCGCCGCATCGCAGCCGCCTGACGGTGCTCGCCTGCGACGCTTGTCGCCGCGCAGTACGCTGCTCGCCAATCGCGTGCGTCCACCGCGTACTGTAAAACATTTGCCCACAATCGCGCGCTCTGGTTCTCATCGTCCTGAACCTCGTGTAAAGCCGCGTACGCCGCGGCTGCGGCGCCTGCGGCGCATCCAAGACGCTCAAAGAACAACATGACAACCTCGTAGTACTCCAGACGGGACACAGCATCATCCGGAAACGCATCGTCAGTTCCCATGAGCGTACCCTGGATCACTCGCAACAACTGCACGAGCAGCGCGTCCACGGGACTCGGAGCTTTTGGAATGAACGCGGCGACTCTGCTGAAGAGTGCGATGGCGGTATCAACTGACTTCACGCGTTCGCTTGCGTCCTCAGCATCGTTGAGACCAGCTAAATCCGCGCACGTCCACAACGCCTGCAGGAAGAGCGGTGCCGGAGCGTCGAATGAAGCGTCGTAGATGGACTCGTTCCCCGGTACTTGCTGACGCGCGAACGCCAGGAGTGTGCCAAGGGCGTCTATTTCCCCAGCAGCGTAGAGCGCGGTCCCAATCTCGATCACTCGCTGCTCCTGCGAAGATGACGTCGCTGCGCCGGCGGCGAGTGATGCGTCCACCAAGGAGCCGGCGCGTCGCAAACCCGAACCCTCCGAAAAATCCTTCACCTCGTCGTGGTTTAAATTCGCCAAGACAACCGCCAGGCGCGGAGCGTCTGTCTTACCGACACTCGAGCACGAACGACGCTCGGTCAAAAGCCACGATGACAAAATCGCCGAGCGGTACGCGCCCATTGCCCGAGGGAGAACAGTCGAAATGGACTCCGCGGCAACGGCCGGGAATCCAATCTTCGGTCCTAGCCGAACGCATCCCAACAAGAGCACCATTCCACGCGCCGCTTCGAGACGTGCGCGTGCTTGTTGCCTTGCCGCATTCAGCACAAGAGCTCCGTGTTGGGATTCCTCGCGATCGCTCGCCTGGTCCGTCACGTCACCCAGATCGGTCGGATCTCGCATCCAAGCGTCCACACGCTCTTGAAGCGCTCGCTCGGGGTCGGGAATAGAGCTCAACGCGTCCTGAAGTAGGCGGACGATGATTCGCTGTCTCGCGCGATGCGACGCCTTACGAGTTCGAGCCCGCGCATCGCTCTCGTCGCTCGGCGCCGGTGGGAACACATCTCCGATGAGTGCGCCCGCGAACGACTCGAGCCAATCCTTCGCGTTTTGACTCGCCGCCTCGATTTGTTCATCATGGTTGTCGAACGCGGCGCCGTGTGCTGTATCCACGCATAAACCGCTTGCAATCAAGTCCATGGCGACGCATGCCGCTCCACCCAAGACTGAGTTCAATCTGGCGAACAGTGCGATGAGAGCAGACGCGGTTTGTCGGCCGCCGGCGTGAAATTTGAGCGTCGGTGCGTCTTCGTTCATGATTTGCGCTCGAGCGTTGGACTCCTCGACCTCGTCGTTGACACGAATCGCCCCGAGCAAACCGCCTGCTCGGACGAGAACGGGACCCGTCGAGGCGCGAATGAATGAAAGCGGCGCGTGTGCGCGCTTCCAACTCTTCGCGTACGTTGGCGCGATACGACACCACGTTTCCAGGACTTGCGCGACGGTTGGTGACGGACCAGCGGCGGCGATGACCAAGTCGCGCACCGTATGTGCACGCTCAGCCTCCACGGAGAGGGCGCATCGCGCTTCCGTCAGAGCCTCTTCCGAGTCCAAACCGCACGAAGTGAGCTCACGGGTGAGTGCGGTCGCCACGGACTCCGCCGTGTACCCGCTGAGTGCGCCGAAACGCTTCATAAGCTCGCTCGCGGCGTCATTCCCTCCGCCGCTGTGTCCCCACTCTTCAAGCGTGCTCGCCTCCGATTCACCCGAGCGCACATCGCGCGCTCGGTGGAGCGCGTCTAAGGGCCAACACGACGAAGTACAACCTCCAGATGACGATTCAAGCGCGGCGACGACGAACTCGCCCGTGAGCGCGAGCGCGAGCGCAGTCCCTCTCGAGCCCTCCACGGAGGACGTAAACACGAGCGCTCCGTGCTTCATCGTGTACAGCGCGAGCTGAGGTCCCTTGTCGTGCGGGTTCTCTCGCGAGGAGACTACGAAGTTTAAAGAGAGTCCGTTGGCCGACGGGGAGACAGCGAAAGCGTACGCCGGGCGATCGCCTGCAGCCCGGTCTTGCGAGCCAGGCGCCGGGGGCAGATGCGAGGCGCACACGCGCGGCGCTTTCACCTGTGTCGGCGGCTTCGCAATCGCCCCCAGAGTGAGCTGTTCAGCGATACGGCACGCCTCCGTGACGTCCCACACCTGCACGAAGCCGTCGGCGGAGATCGAGGCGACCACATCCTTCCCGCTCACGCGCTCTGACCGAGGCGTGGCACCGATGACCGCACTCTCGGACGAACCCTTCACCGCGTTCCACACCCGACTGAGCGTGCTCGACGACTGAATCTCACAAATCACTTGCATCGTCTTCGCATGATACACCACGCCCGATCCCGAGACGTCGAACACGGCGAACGCGTCCGAGCCTACCGCTCCGAGCGCCGCCACGCGCGTCGCCGACGCCGGCCCCCGCGTCGCCTTCACCGTCGTTCCCGCGCTTTCGAAATCGTCTAAATCCTCCAAAAGTACTCGCATAACGTGCTCCCCGTCTGTCGTTGCGAGCACGACGAAAGCGGCGCCGTCGCGCGTTTGTCCGCACGCGCACGTCTGCGCCAAAGCGCTCGGAGTCATCACGCGCGTCGCTCGCCCGCTCGAGCTCTCAATCACGCACGTCCGCGATCGCGCGTCATCGATCCTCCACGTCAATACCGTTCGTTCTCCGTCTTTATCCACCACCTCGGCGCCACCACCGTTTCTTCGTCGTCCGCTCGTCGACGCCTCGGTCTCGCTCTCGCTCGCCGAACCCTCGTCTCCACGAATACGCTTCGCGTTTCGCCAATCGTCGCTGTTTGACGCGATCGAGCGGTCGGGGTGGACGACCCACGTAAGTGGTCGAGTGCTCACGCGCGAGCGGGGAACCACAGGGGTCTCCGCGACGGAGAACATCGAGATCGATGCGTGTGGATTTGACTTGCTCAAACGTTTGTTTTGACTTTGTCGTGACTTTTAGCGTCGATTAAGACACTTGCAGTTGTGTACCGACGCGTACACGGACGCAATTGACACGTCTTCGTCTTTGGTTGATGTTCGACGCGCGCGCGTGGACGATGCAGTCGCGCGTCGGCGTGTGCGGTGCGAGTCCGGGCGCGGCGGGCGTTTGCGCCCAGCGCGCGCGCGAGTGTTGGACGCGATGTCTGGGGCGTCTGAAGCAGAGCGTAGTTGATAATGCGTTGTTTTAATGTTCGGTTGCGATGATCACGGCGAGTTCCGCGAGGAGGGATAAGTTTTTTTGATAAATTTGCATTTCAATGTGTTCGACGTGCCAATCAGAGCTCACGGACGTTGAGGTTTACTTTGCAGCCTTCTTAGCCTCACGTTCCGCCTTCTTAGCGGCGTCCGGGTCAACGCCGATGTAGACATCAAGGTCCCAATCGCTATCGGTCGTAATCTCAGCGCCTGCGGCCAATTTAGCCGCACGCGCCTTGGACATAGCCTTGATATCCTTGCGAGAAAGCTTCTTCTTCGGTCCCTTCACCTTGACCTTGTTACCGAGGGCGTCGACGGTGTCCTCTTGAATCTCGAACTCCACGGCCGCACCCTTGGCAGACTTGCCTTGACCCCACTTGTTACCTTCGATCTCAACGAAGCCGGTACCCGGCACGTTCCAGGTCTCTTCCTTCAACGCGTCAGCGAATTCGCAGTTGTGCGTGATGAGCAAGACACCGCCACCGAATTCCTTGACGGCGCACGCGAGCGCTCCGAGGGCGTCGCGATCCAAGTAGTTCGTCGGCTCGTCCATGACGACAATGTGCGGTTGCTGCCACATGGCGGCGCCGAGCACGAGTTTAACCTTTTGACCACCGGAGAGACCCTTGATACGGTTATGCGTACCGAATTCTGCGTCCAAACCGAAGTCGACCAAGTGCTTTTCGACGTTCGCTTGCGTGAGCGGACGAGCGTACAAACCGGCGCGAGCGGCTTCGCGCTCGTCGACACGCATGAGGTACTTGGTGAAACCGAACTTTTCGAGCTTTTCGCGAGCAACCCAGGTGTTGGCATCCATCGAGAGACCCTTCCACTGAACTTCGTACTCGTGCTTGTTCTTCTTCGTGCGACGAGAGATGATCTTCTCGACGACGAGCTTGAGCATGGAGCCATCCTCCTGTTCGACAGGGATCTTCTCCGCCATGAGTTTCTTTTCCTCTTCGGTGTACTGCGCGGTCACCTTCGTCAAGTTTTCCTTGTCTTCACCGGTGGAGAAACGCCATCGGATGTACTCGTTGGGCGTCTTGTCCAAGTGCTGCTCGACGTGGTGGAACGCGTGCTGCGCGACGTACGCGTAGCGCATATTCGGGTGACGCCAGACGGTACCTTGGTCCGGCTCAGCCTCACCAGTGAGGAGTTTGATGAACGTGGACTTACCCGCACCGTTCGGTCCGAGGCAGGCGACGCGAGAGCTCAAAGAGAGCTGGATGGTCGCTTGCTGGATGATCTGGCGGGTGGTGTTCGGGTACTTGAACCAGCAGTTCGTCGCCTTGACAATGGCCTTATCCTTGTTCTTCACGCCTTCAAGGAAACCCGGGACCGGGAAGATGAACTTAAGCTCATCGTTAGAGAGCTCGGTGTACTTCTTCGCCGCCGGGCACTGCTCGACGAACGCGGTGAGGTTACCGCGGTACGTCACCAACTTGCGGTTTTCGTAGTGGATGATGTGCGTACACACGCGGTCCAAGAAACCAGAGTCGTGGGACACAATCATGGAAGAGACTTGCGTTTGCGAGTTGAGGTACTCTTCCAACCAGGCGACGTTCTTGACGTCCAAGTGGTTCGTCGGCTCATCGAGCAACAAGATGTCAGCCTTCATGAGGATGGCGCGGGCGAGCGCGAGCTTCATCTTCCAGCCACCCGAGAGGGCGACGACAGGGCCGTTGATCATTTCGTCGGTGAATTGGAAAGACGTGAGCGTCGCGGCGACTTGCTCCTTGGTGGTACCGTGTTGGCGGATGACTTCGTTGTCGAGAACGAATTCGACGACGTTCATCGTGTGCTGGTCACCTTGGATGTCGTGCTCGACGTACACCGTGCGGAGCTCCTCCGGCGGCGGGAAGTTTTCGACTTGACCGTTGTTGATGGCCTTCATCAAAGTGGACTTGCCGCAACCGTTCGGGCCGCACAAACCGTAGCGCTTACCCTTCTTCATGTGGAGCGTGGCGTTGTTGAGCAAAATCAACGCACCATACGCGAGGGAGAAATCGCACTTGCAAAGGTCTTCGCCTTCTTCGTCCTCGACGACGAACACCTTCTTGGAGGATTCGTACACGTGTTCCGCACGCTCGACGAGGGACTTGGTCATGACGTCAGCCTCGGAGAAGAAAAGCTTCAGGTAAGAGGTGGCGCAAGACTTAGTCCAGGTATCCAAGTCGAAGTTCTTGGCCAAGAGGGCGTTGGCGGACAAGGAGCAAATGTAGTCAAAGTACACCTTGACGCCTTCGCCTTGGACGAAAGCGGTGACATCTTCCTTGGAGGAGCCGGTAGAGGCGGCCAAGAGCTCGATGAACTGTTCGCTGACGGTCTCTTCGTTGTAGACACCCTTGCCGGCTTCACCACTCTCTTCGGCGCCGGTTTCATTACCGGCGGCTTGGAGAAGCGTCTTGTACGCGCGGGTACACACTTGACGGCACTCTGGGTCGGCGACTTCATCCATAGCGCGCTTCAGAAGCGGCAAAAGCTTCGTCAAGAAGGGCGCGGCATCCATCGGATCTTCGACGAGCTTGCACATGTTGTCGATGATAACGGCGGACTTACGCTTGATCGGGGTGGATTGCTGGAAGAACAACCCGCGCTGAAGGAGCGGACCCATGATGGAGAGCGTCGGAGCCTCGACTTGTTGCACGAACGTCGTCGCCGCGAGCTTGTGCACGCACTCCGGAACCTCATCGACGTTGTTGATGCACTCAATCAAAGTAGGAATGAACGGCTCGATATCGAGGTTACCGACGCAGTCCGCGACCTTGGCCATGGACGCGGTGGACGCCTCCTTGACCTCCGAGCGCATGTGCACCATCACTTGAGCGAGCTCCGGGATGATCTCCGGCAAGTTGGCCGCCACCGCCTTGCGGTTACGAGCAACAAAGCCATCGAGCACGCGAAGCGCCGCCATGGTCGCTTGCCAGAACTGAGACTGGAAGCCGGCGAAGATCGGCTTCAACGCTGGGCGCACGGCGAACTCGGAGAGCTTGGGCGCGATGGCGTCCACAGCCTTATCGCCAGCCGCGCGCACGTCCGCGGACTTGTTATCGCCCGCGAGCATGAACGCAACATCGAGCAATTCGATGAGATACGGTTCCTCGGCGTAGGACGCCGCGTTCGCGAGCTCGGCGATCTTTTCGCCCGCCGCCTTGCGCGCGTCCTCGTCCTTCTTCATGCCCTGCGCCTCGCGCATCGCGGCGACGTCCGCCATCGAAATCTTCGCCGCGGCGGGCACGTTACATTTGTTCGGAGCCATGTCTACTTGTGTCTCTGCGTCGCGCGCGAAATATACACGTCGTCAGTCTCTCGCTATTTCACAACTTCGCCTTCCGCCTCGCGGTTGTGGATAGGACCTCAAGCCGCCGCCATCGGCCTCTCGATGGCATCTCATCGCCCGTCGAGCCTCGCGCGCGGTTCGCGGTCTCCCCCGAACCCGCGGAGACGCCGAGGGATATTTCTCCCCCCCCCGTCCGTCACGCCGATCCCCCATTCCGTCCTCGCCGACGTCGCCCGCGGCACGAACGACGCGCCGCCGTCGACGCCACGAGCCCGGTTCGCGCGCGCACAGATCACCCCGTCATCGCCGCGCGCGACGCGCACCTCTCAACGCGAGCGCGCGTGCACGTCACCCGTGATCCAATCGCTTCGTACGCGTGCGGTCGCGCGCGCGTCGAGGCGCTCGCGTGCGGGAGAGTGCGCGCGAGGTCGACGCGCGCGCGGGCGTCGCGCGCGCCCTCGGGGTCGGTTGACGGCGCCAATCATGGGGGTTCCATCGCTCCAATACGAGGGCATCGACCGGGGGCGCGGGGGTGGCGGATGAACGAAACACCGTACGCGTGCGTACACGAGGCGTGCGCGCGGACGCGGGCGATGACGCGATCGCGGGAGATCGGCGCGCGTCGTCGACATGCTCGCGCACGCGCGACGAAAGCTCGCGAGAGAGCTGGGAGGGCGACTCGCGACGACGGCGACGGTGCACGGAACGCGTCGTGAGGGCCAACGGGCGTGCGTGTCGTCGTCGAGCGCGAGTCGAGGGAAGGAGATCCAGCGATTTAAGGTGTACCGGTGGAATCCGGATTCGGGCGAAGAACCGCGGTATAAGACGTACGATGTGGACGTGGGAGAGTGCGGACCGATGATGCTGGATGTGTTGTTCAAGATTAAGGACGAACAGGATCAGACGCTGAGCTTCCGAAGGAGCTGTCGGGAAGGGATCTGCGGTTCGTGCGCGATGAACATCAACGGGAAGAACGGCTTGGCGTGCCTGACCAAGGTCGATCGAGGGCAGAGCGGTGACCAGACGATCGCGCCGTTGCCGCACATGTTCGTTGTGAGGGATTTAGTGGTGGACATGGCGAACTTTTACGCGCAGTACAAGTCGATCGAACCGTTTTTGAAGACAAAGTCCGACGCGCCGGCGGACGGGAAGGAGCGATTGCAGACGAAAGAGGATCGGGCCAAGCTCGATGGCTTGTACGAGTGCATCTTGTGCGCGTGCTGCTCGACGTCGTGCCCGTCGTACTGGTGGAACAGCGATAAGTACCTCGGACCGGCGGTTTTGCTCCAGGCGTATCGCTGGATCATCGACTCCAGAGACGAGTTCACCCAAGAGCGATTGGACAACGTGAACGACGCGTTCAAGCTGTACAGGTGCCACACCATCATGAACTGCAGCACGGTGTGTCCGAAGGGTTTGAATCCCGCGCTTAAGATCGCTAAGATCAAAGCCATGGTTTAGAGAAATTTTACGTTTCGCAGCAGCAATTGTTACAACACTTACTAAATAGTCCTCAGCACCGCGCGCCGCGCGCGTCAGATTTTTTTCGACCTCCAGTTCACGAGCTCATCCTCGTCCTCGTCGCTAACGTCGTCGTCATCACTATCGCTGTACGCGACGACGCCCGCAGTCGCGCGCGGCGCCGCCTTCGCTTCCGCCCGCTTCATCCGCTTCGCCTCCCTCACCTCCTCCGCCGCCTTTCTCAACCGATCCACGCGATCGAACAGCTCCACCTGCTCCTGCACCTCAATGTGCGTCTTCTCCACCGCCGAAGCCTCCTCGAGCGCGATCGCTCGCGCCTCAGCCTCGGCTTTCTCCCGCTCGCGCGTCTCTCTCTCCTCCGCCGCCGCGCGCGCCCTCGCCTCTCGCGCACGCGCGTCCTCGCCTCGAACCACCGTCGCGGACGCCTCGGTCGTCGACGTCGTCCGCACGCGCGTCCGCGTCGCCGTCGACGGCGTCTTCGTCGCCTCGGCGCCGCCGCCGTCGAAGAAATCGCTCGGCAGCGCATTTTTGGACATGTCGCCTCGATCACCACCGCGCGCGAGCACCGACCCGTGCGAGATCGCGCGCGGGCGTCCGCGCGGGCGTCGCGACCGATCGCACGGCGTGAGCGACGCGTCACCGACTCGCGCGACGCCCGCGCGCGCGACGCGCGAGGCGGTCGACGTGCGTGCGATACATACCGCCAATACATACCTAAACACGCGTGCGCATGCACATAGCGAACATGCGTGGTCGATACGTATGAACCCACATGTCCGATGGATTTATCTCTCTCGCACATTTCAAACGAGGGGGAACGACAGCTCGCTCGACGTCGTCGGCGACCGCGCGCGCGTGCGCGCCGCACACCGACGCGCGCGTCTCGATCGCGCGATCGACGCGGGCGCGACGTCTGTGCGTCGCCGGATCTCGCGCGCGCGGTGATTCGCCGTGAACGGGGCGTCGCGGGAAACGTCGAGAGACGACCGAAAGGGAGCGAACAATCGTCATGGGTGGACACTCGATCAACGACGCGTACGAAAAGCTGGAAAAGATCGGACAGGGGACGTACGGGAAGGTGTACAAGGCCCGGGATCGAGCGACCGGAAGGTTGGTGGCGCTGAAGAAGACGCGATTGGAGATGGAGGAGGAGGGGGTGCCGTCGACGGCGCTGCGAGAGGTGTCGTTGTTGCAAATGTTGAGCGAGTCGCCGTACATCGTTCGATTATTGCGCGTGGAGCACGTCGAGGAGGACGGGAAGGCGATGTTGTACCTTGTGTTTGAATTCTTGGATCAAGATTTGAAGCAGTTCATGGATCTCACGGGAAGGGGGCCGTCGAACCCGCTGCCGACGACGACGGTGCAAAACTACATGTATCAGCTCTGTTTAGGGTGCGCGCACTTGCACAAGCACGGGGTGATGCACCGCGATCTGAAGCCGCAGAACATGTTGGTGGATAAGGCGAAGAACTTGCTCAAGATTGCGGATCTTGGTCTCGGTAGGGCGTTCAGTGTGCCGGTGAAGAGTTACACGCACGAGATCGTGACGCTGTGGTATCGCGCGCCCGAGGTGTTGCTTGGCGGGTCACACTACTCAACTCCGGTCGATATGTGGAGCGTTGGGTGCATGTTCGCCGAGATGGCGCGCAAGCAACCGTTGTTTCCGGGTGATTCCGAGCTGCAGCAGCTCTTGCACATCTTTAAGCTGCTAGGGACGCCGAGCGAGCAAGTGTGGCCGGGCGTCTCAAACCTTCGAGACTGGCACGAGTTCCCGCAATGGAAGCCGCAAGACTTGGCCAAGCTGATCCCTCAGCTGGACGCGCACGGCATCGATCTGCTTCAAAAGCTTCTCGTTTTTGATCCGGCGAAGCGCATTCACGCCACGGACGCTCTCGAGCATCCGTATTTTGACTCGCTCGACAAGACGCAATTCGAGAAGATCGAGCGCGAGTTCGAGATCGAGTTCCTTCGCGAGAAAGAGAACCGTATGGCGCAGTAATGGCGCTGAAATACGAGCGGTTTCCACCGCTACTACCTGTGCGCACGAAAATCACCCGCGTTGTCTTGTAACTGGTTCTGAAAACGTAAACATCCCAAGCGCTCGCCTCTTTACGCTCCGCACTCGTCCACCGGCGTCACGCTCCTTATCCTCAGTACACCGCCCTGTGCGGTCGTTCTCTCGACGCACCGCCCGGTGTGAACGAACACTCGATCACCATGCGCGCGTGTATGCCGTCGTACGAAGTCATGCGCGTCCACGTCGCCGCCACATCATCGACGACGCCACGTCGAAACGTCGCTCGTCATCGATGCGTCCGCGCGCGCACCGCCGTGAAACCGCCGCCCAGCTCCGAGACGTACCGCGGCGCCCTGTTCCCGGGCGTCGAGGTCCCGGACTCACCCTTCGTGAAGTCTCTGGCCACCGTGTTCCCGTGGGGGAACGGGGCTCGGGTGACTGAGCGCGTGTTGATGGACCTGCTCAAGCCCGAGGTCCGGGCGGCTCCGTTGTTCGTCCCGCTGTACGATTACTACAGAGAGTACGGTGGAGTGTACAACTTGGGGGCCGGACCGAAGTGGTTCGTCGTCGTGAGCGATCCGGTGGCGGTCAGGACGATGTTCAAGGATAAGGCGGATGATTTTTCAAAGGGAATATTGACGGATATCATGGAGCCGATCATGGGCGACGGTTTGATCCCAGCGAACAAGGAGACGTGGGCGAAGCGACGACCGGTGATCGGCGCTGGGTTTCACGGGGCGTGGCTGAAGCACATGTGCAATCTATTTGGCGCGTCGGCGATGCGATTGGCGGAAAAATTAGACGTGGCGGCGGAGAAAGGGACGACAGTGGAGCTCGAGGGTGAGCTGTACGCGATGGCGCTCGACGTCATCGGCAAGGCGGTGTTCAACTATGAATTCGGCGCACTGAAACAGGAAACGCCCATCATCAAGGCGGTCTATCGTGTCTTACGCGAGAGTGAGCATCGCTCGACGTTTCCACTGCAGTACTGGCAGATTCCGGGCGCGATGGATCTCGTTCCCAGGCAGAAGCAGTTCAAGGAGGATATGAAGATGATCAACGAGGAGCTCTCGACACTCATCAATAGCGCGATCGAGTCGCGAAATGAGACGGGATTGGAGGAGATGGAGCGACGTGACTATTCCAACGTCGAGGATGCGAGTTTACTTCGATTTTTGGTGGACATTCGCGGGGACGAGGCGACGAGCACGCAGCTGAGGGATGATTTGATGACGATGCTCATCGCCGGTCACGAGACGACGGCGGCGGTGCTCACGTGGACGCTTTATTTGCTCGCGCAGCACCCGGAGATCATGGAAGAGGCGGTGAAGGAGATCGAGATGTGCGTTGAGAACGCCGACGGTGTGCCGACGCCGGAGGAGGTACGGAAGCTCGAGAAAGTGCGCATGATCCTCGCAGAGGGCATGCGCCTGTACCCGGCACCACCAATTTTGATTCGAAGAGCCATCAAGGACGTCACCCTTCCTCGAGGAGGCAACGGCAAAGAGATCACGCTGAAGGCTGGCACTGATTGCTTCATCGCGGTCTGGAACTTACATCGCTCGCCCGATCTTTGGGAAAATCCTGAAAAATTTGATCCCAGCCGGTTCTCACGAAGGTTCACAAACGAGGCGATCGAGGGGTGGGGCGGGTTGAATCCAGATTTGATGACCGGTTTGTACCCCAACGAGCAGAGCACTGACTTTAGCTACGTCCCCTTTGGTGGTGGGCAGCGACGGTGCGCGGGAGATCAGTTCGCAATGCTCGAGGCGGTGACGTCGTTGAGCGTGTTGTTGAAAAAGTTCAAGTTTGAGCTCGACTGCCCTCCGAACGACGTCGAGATGATCACGGGCGCGACGATTCACACCAAGAAGGGCCTGCCGATGAAGATTAAGCGACGCGAGTAGCCATTTTAGTACAGATTTTGTTGCTCATAATTATCACAATGGGTTGGTGCGCAGTACTACAGCGAACAGACAGATTGGGGGAGAAATTAATTGTACAATGCGGGACGTGTTGCTCACGCCTGCGCCATCTTGTTTACAGGCTTGCGACCCTTGCGTCGGGCTCCGCCGTATTTGGCCTCGAGATCGAGGACGCGCTGCAAGAAATCAGCCGGAGTCTCTTGCTTGCGCCTCGATTGCGGCGGAAGAGATGCGAGCTGGAGCAAATTGCGCCACTTATCCTTGAGGTCCATGGCGGTGCGACGTCCGAGCGCTGGATCGTCAGACTTCTTAATCACCGTCCATCGACAACCTCCGCATCTGTCGACGCCGTCGACGAGCGCCATCGCCTCTTTCATTGTCCACGGCGAGTGGTGCTTGCTTCGGCGCACGCCCTTCGCACCGGCGTCATCCTCTGTCTTGTCGGCGTCGCTCTGACCGGGAGAGCTCATCTTGACCGTCGCGACGCTCATGCCCTTACCCACGGCGTCGCGCGGAGCGCCGTGCTTGCCTACGCGCGCCTCAACCTTGGCCGAAGCGAGGACTCGAACTCGCTCCAGGATCTCCGCCGGCACTCCGTTGATCTCACGACGCTTGTACAGAGCGGGGAGCACGGCGACACGCAGGAGGTTGCGCCACTTATCCTTGAGATCCACTGCGCTGCGGTTGATCAATGTTTCCGAGACGCCATCGAGGCGCAGAGCCTTGATGTCCGCCCACTGGCCGCGACCATAGTGCGCAACGCCGCGAACGAGTGCCTCGACCTCGGGGAGACTCCAAGGACGGTGCGCTTTGGGCTTGCCCGAGGCGTGCGCCTCCGCCGCTGCTTCAGGCTTCGCATCGACGTTTAGCGTGTTCAAGTTCGATCTCGCTCGCAAACTCTTCGACGTTCTTCTCTTCTTCGGGCAAGGAACCGACAGCGGGTGGAGACTGTCGCGCTTGTTGCCGCGCGTCCCGGGGGCCTCGTTTTCTTCATCCGACCCGCAAGCCATCATGTTCAACAATACGTTCGCCGCCGAGAACGGAGACTTCACTCCAGGGGTTTGCGAACGATCGGGAATCGCCAACGCATCGAGACGGGCGTTTCTGAGCGCCAACGGCACCTGGTCGAACGACGTTTGCGGGATCATCACCGCCAGCCCGTGGCCCGCGCGTCCCGAAAAGTGCGCGTCTTGCCTCTGCGTCAACCGCTCCGTGCTGGCGCAATCTTCGATCGCTGGCGCGTCCTCACCATCGCCATCGAGGTGCGTCGTGTTATGACTTCCATCGCTCGCACTCAGCGATTTCGTCGTCGTCCGCACCGGCGGCGCGACGCCGACGGGTCGCGCCGACGGCACGGGCGCGACGCCAAACGCCGCCACGGGCGCAAACGGCGCGCGCATCATCGCCGCCACGCGCCCCCCATCCTGCGCGTCCAAACGCTTCGTCATCGCCGACTGCATTCTCAAACTATCCACCTTGGGCCCGAAAGCCGGCATGACGCGCATCATCGTCGCGGGCGGAGCGCCCGCGAATGGAAACGCGTGCGCGCGCGGAACCAGCGGCGTCGTATTCGCCCACGGACCCATCGCCGTCGCGCCTCTCGATCCGCGCCTCTCACGCCCGTGCATCATCACCGGCGGCGTCATCGTCGATCGACCTACGCGCGCGACGCAATCACCGTCAGTCACCGACCTCCGCCTTCGCGCGTTCAAACCACCCTGTCGAGCCCACCCCATCGAACCCGACGAGTCCCACCCCCCATGAGGTCGTTGCACATCATCGCCGTCGCGTTGACCCCATCGACGCCCCGACGCCCCCTACCGTCGCCCCGCCCCCCGACGCGCGATGGAGATTATTTTCCCCGAGCGCGCGCGCGCGTCGACGACGCGCGCGCGCCGCTGTCGATCCGTCGTCGCCGTCGATCTTCACGCGCGAAATCAAACGCATCCCAACCACTCGTCGTCGCGCGCGCCCGTCGACCCACTCGTCGTCGCGCGCGCCCGTCGATCCGCGCACAGGACGCACCGTAAAAACACTCGCGCGCGCGCGTCGTCGATCGACCCGCGGTGGCGTCCTCGCGCGTCGACCTCTCGCGCGTCCACCGCTCGCGCGCGCGCGCGCGACGACGCGACGGGGCGCGCGTTACGTATTCACGCACGTTTGAGCCTATGTATCACCACTCGGGCGTCATCCACGCCCGGGCGACGTCGATCGCGCGCGCGGGCACGCGAGATGCGCGGGGGCATCTTGGGTAAGCAAAGCTTCTTAGCATGTGTGGACAAATAAGTCACCCCAAGCCACACATTTTTTGCACCATACGTCAGTGGGATTCGCTCGTCCGGTCACCACTCGCGTCGGCGGCGACGCGCGACGGCGCGGCGTCGGGGGACGATGCGAACGCGATAGAAGCGCGCGACGGCGACACGCGACGACGCGAGCGCACTTCACGCGCGGCGTCGGGTGATTCGCTTGACCGGTCACCGCGTGCGTCCATGGGGTACATACGCAAGCGGGACCTCATCGCGGAGGATGAAGCCAATCAAGCTCGGATGGATGAAGCCGCGCGTCGTCGTGCGGCGGGCGAATGGGATCCCTGGGCAGGCTTCGAGGCCCATGTTCAGAGGATGAACTTCGAGAATCGCTCCGCCGGTCAAAAGCGACGGAGAGCCAGGGAAGCGGCTTTGGGCAGCCCACCGATGATGCGCCGACGCAGGAAACGTGGCGCGGTTGACGGCGGCGAAGACGCGACTGCGACGGCCGCGATCGAGCACGACAACCATGTCGATGATATCGCGAGCGATGATGAGGGTGACGCTGCCGGTTGGAACGCGCGTCTCCCCGAGCTCCGCTCGGGCGTTCTCAGGCAGGCGGTTGCGTTCGAGGGCTGGCGCGCGAAAAAGGAGCAGCAGCGATTGCAGCGATTCGCGAGCCCTGATGTAGTGCATACATTTAAGGCGATGCTATGGTCGGCTGTGCAGCGGCCGTTCGGTGACGACGCGGACGCGTGCTGCCCGGGTCAAGCGACGCGAGCTAGCGATGGCGAAGATTCGATTCGTGCGCAACGACATGGGCGCGATGCCGTCGAGTTTGTCGACGAGCCCGCGGGCGACGGCGATGATATATTTTGCATCGTCTGCAGCGACGACGTCGTGCGCGCATCTGGCCCCCAACGCCTGTTCGGGCGACTGGTTTGCCCGCACTGCGGTTTCGGCGTCTCGTACGATCCCATCGCGCTCGGTCTCTGGCCGACGGAGCCGCCCAACACACTGGATCGGATCGGGACGAGGTCAAATATTTTCGTACACCACGAGGTGCTGGCAAACGCGCTGAAGGATCTCACATCGACGACGAGCACCGCGAACGAGCGGACTCTATCAAAGCACCTCGCGGACAGAATCCGAGGCGGCGTGGCGCCGGAGGCTCCGCGATCCGAATCTGGATATCCTGACGCGGCGTTCACGGCCGAAAGAATTCGACATCTGCTCTTTCGGAGCGGCGTGTTCGATGCGTACGCCCGATCGCGCTTCCAGCTGAGTTCAAGCCGCGACGTGCGCGCGACGGTTCACCGATCGAACGCTCCTTCAAGCACGCCCGGTGACGACGACGTTGACACGGGTGCGACGCCCGACTCGAATACGTCGACGATTAATATCACAGCACCGCCGTCACGGGACCCCGCCGCGTCGTGTCCAGCGTGCGCGAGCGCGTCGTGGGGTGACGACACGAACGTGAAACGGCTTCTCAACGTTTGTGGCGATGGGAATGCCAAGGCCGTTCGCCTACGGGGGTCCGCGACTATGGATTATCACCGCGCACTCGGGACAACGGATTGGGACGAATTCGAATACATCCGCCCGTACGTCCCCGTTGAAGGGATACCCGGCTGGGCGACGATGTGCACGCCGTGTGAAACCGGTGACTGCCGCACCCAAATCAAATGCGCGGACAAACCGCGCGCGCCAGGGACCACGCGCGGAGCGCTTGGGAAGATGGACGAGCGATCGATGCTGTTATTCGTTTGTCATCATGGATTTGTGTTGCGCGGCACGGCGCTCGTGAGCACGACGCACGAGCGATTCGATATGTACGACGTCGCCCTCGCTGGGCTCGCTCGGTGGCGGAATCTTGGCGACGTTCACATTGACTTCGCGTGTCAGTACGGCGTCCACCTTCGTCGGCGCGTCGAAGCGCTCGTTGAACGAGACCAAAATTCGTTCGCCGATCTCCGCGATCAGCTCGCTCAGGCGAGCGACGCCGACTGCGGGGGCGCTCGCCTGATGGTACCGTACATGCACGGCAGCTCCCATGGGTACAGCTGCAAACATAAGCACTGGGCCGTCTACAAGTCGGACTCATGCCGCCGCGCGGGCGAGACGACGGAGCATGTGTGGTCGCGATTGCGATCGTCTTTCACGGGGCGTTTGCGGCTCATGTCTAGCATGCGACGGTCCCTCCTCCTCGAGCACATCATCCGCGGTCTCGATTCCGAGCGAAAGAAAGAGTTCCCATTGTCCTTCGCGAACACGGCACATCGACTCCTTCGACGAGATGGCGTGTTCGATAACGATGTCAAACTATACTACGACGTGCTCCAGTTGCGGTCTCGTCAGTCGGGCGTGGGCATAAGGGAATTACACGCCACCGCGCGTCGTTTTCTCGAGCTCGCTCGGGCGAACCTAGACTGTGCCAGCGAGCCGCCTGAACCGATCGAAGGACGCGTCGCGTGGCTGAGCTACGAATACCACTTCGAGAGATATGAAGACAAAAAAAGGAAGATGTGCCTGCAGATACGCAAGCTACAGTCACAACACGGACTCGGCGAGAGCGGCCCGTGGTCTCGAAATAACGAAGAATACTTGCCTGGAATTGAGGCACACTGGCGGTTCGAGTCCGCGCGACATCGTGCGAGCCTCGTTGATGCTTGGCTCGATCGCTGCGAAATCCGCCGACAATTACGTGATCGCAGCATGCGCGACTCGGAATACACGGAGCTGAAGTCCCGGGAAATCACGCTCTCTACTCATGTCAGTGTCGACATGAAGAATTACAACTACGCTGTTGAGCAGCTCAACGTCGCGCGCCGGTGTATGAACATGCCGGCCGAGGTGGATCCAGCATTTCAGCCGTTGACGGAGCAGATCGTCGACGCGTGGGACGAAACCGGTCCCGAAAACGATCCATTCACTGGAGTGAACGGTTTGGCGCGCGTGGAGCTCACAGAGGCAGATGGTACCACCACCACTGTTCGGCTCTCTCTTGCATCGCTCCGGCGACTGGCACACCTCGGCGCGTACGTCGCCAGGGACGCCGAGGATGTCAATCGCCTCCGTGAGGAGGCCGACCGCGCGCTGTCGTTTTACGCGCGTGTCGAGCGAGAGGAGTCCTCTGAGCTAGAGAGTTCGCGCGCGCGCGCGCTCGGTGTGAAGCGCGCGATCCTCGATGGTGGTGGTGGCGACGACGGTGATTTACAAGACGCGTTATGGGCGGCGATATACGCGGCGCGCGCGGCGGAGGTGAAGCGTGACGCGGCGGCGGCGCGGTTGGAGAGATTGGGCGAGCGCCTCAGACTGGATAATTTTGATGGTAAGTTGCGCAAAGCCGCTGCTACGTTCGCTCGTTTTGAAGCCCACCTGTCTCTTACTGATTGATTCGATCACAGTGCCCCTGCTCGAGGTCGTAGGACCGGCGAACGCGGTGTTGTCTCGCCGAGACGACTCATCGATGAAGTCCCGACAGGATGATGCTGAGCTCATGTTGAGTAAGTCGTCGACGAGACGTTCGATGCGCGGTGTTGCCACGGCAAATAGCCTAGTTGTTGTACTGTTTTACTCTATGACGTGGTTTGATGTGATTCGGTTGCGCGGCCGCCGCTCTGTGAGTGTTCATAAAAGTGTCGTCTTTATCGTAGAGGCCACAAAGGTAGGATGCGAGACAAAAGCGTCCAGGCCAGTCGCGTTCGACGTCGGGCTCGCGTTTTCGTGCATGGAATGGTGTTTACACATTGCATACGACCTCGGAGCCGCATTTTGCGGCGTTTGGACGAAGTCGACTCTCGAACCTATGTTCCCGTAGAGGCTTGGAAGGTAGTGCACAGCCACGGGAAACCGGTAGTCCTGGGAAGCAAAATTTTCGACGTCGCGGCAAAGTCGCCGGGAAACGGGCCAAATCGATCCATCATAACATTTTATTACGCACCAATGCGCCTTGAGGCAGTCTTCTCGCGTTTCCGTCGCCGGGCACGACCGATTAGACTGGAAACCAACATCGTAGACGTGTACGTTAACGATGCACGTCTAAAAACAGTTTTTGCCATCTGGTCGATTTTGGATGCAAAAACGGCGCAGACGTACGTCAATCCGTTTCAAACCACGATGTGATGCGCCGGGGCGCACACCAAATCCCGACGTCGCGTCGAAACCTCGCGAAAATGTTGCGAGCACCTTGGTTTTGGGAAACTTCTCACCTATTCCTTCTCTCCGTGACCATGCCCGTGCGTCGTCCCTCTGGAAAGCGCCATGAACCACGCGCCAGTTCTTTTGATTTGCGATTACGAACCTCCTAGCGATATGAGGTCGCCTGAATCGGCGTCCAGCGGCGCGAATCGTTGGTGTGATACATGAGTGAATTTATGTTTTCGTCGGCTCGCATCGCGCGGCTGGACGAAGCCGCGCGCCATCATCGTGGAGTCGACGCGCAACGCATTCATACACGCGATTCCGATCACATTGGGTGATGCGGGCGTCGTATCGACCGCAGAAAGGGTGCCATGGAATGAAGGCGTGTTCCAGGTCATTTCCGCTGGTTGCCGCCCTTTCGTCACCGATCGATTTTCAGTTGAAACTAGAAGTGCCTTTCAAATCCGATAGGTGGAAACTCGTTTCCTTTTCGTCACCGATCGATTTTCAGTTGAAACTAGAAGTGCCTTTCAAATCCGATAGGTGGATACTCCTTTCATTTTTAGTTACGCATCGTCGGTTATTTTGAAAGGTACAAGGTTCGACGAAAGGCGAGCTCGACGCGGCGTGGTGCGACCAAGCGGCCTTCCCACTGATTGGACGCGTCGCCAATCGTTTCATTTCGTCGAAGGGCACGTCGAAAGGGGGACACGTGGTGGTGTGGCGAGACGTTTCCGCAGCATCTGGGCGAGAGTTGAAGGTAAAGTTGTCTTGCAGGCCGATCATCACATCTTCTCGTCGCAGCACGCGTCGCGACGCGGGTCGATCTGCCACACCGAACGCGGTGGGTGCACTGTGGATATTATTCTCGGTCGTGAAACGTAAAGAAGATGGTGTCAGCGCGCTCGCGTCGAGCGTTGAGCCGACGGTTGGGCGTGTGGATGCATTTTTGGAGCCGAGCTTCGACGCAGCCATCGCATCTTCTCGTCGCAGCACGCGTCGCGACGCGGGTCGATCTGCCACACCGAACGCGGTGGGTACACTGTGGATATTATTCTCGGTCGTGAAACGTAAAGAAGATGGTGTCAGCGCGCTCGCGTCGAGCGTTGAGCCGACGGTTGGGCGTGTGGATGCATTTTTGGAGCCAAGCTTCGACGCAGCCATCGCATCTTCTCGTCGCAGCACGCGTCGCGACGCGGGTCGATCTGCCACACCGAACGCGGTGGGTACACTGTGGATATTTCTATCGGTCGTGAAACGTAAAGAAGGTGGCGTCAGCGCGCTTGCGTCGAGCGTTGAGCCGACGGTTGGGCGTGTGGATGCATTTTTGGAGCCGAGCTTCGACGCAGCCATCGCATCTTCTCGTCGCAGCACGCGTCGCGACGCGGGTCGATCTGCCGCATCGAACGCGGTGGGTACACTGTGGATATTATTCTCGGTCGTGAAACGTAAAGAAGGTGGCGTCAGCGCGCTCGCGTCGAGCGTTGAGCCGACGGTTGGGCGTGTGGATGCATTTTTGGAGCCGAGCTTCGACGCAGCCATCGCATCTTCTCGTCGCAGCACGCGTCGCGACGCGGGTCGATCTGCCGCATCGAACGCGGTGGGTGCACTGTGGATATTTCTATCGATCGTGAAACGCGAAGCAGGTGGCGTCAGCGCGCTTGCGTCGAGCGTTGAGCCGACGGTTGGGCGTGTGGATGCATTTTTGGAGCCGAGCTTCGACGCAGCCATCGCATCTTCTCGTCGCAGCACGCGTCGCGACGCGGGTCGATCTGCCGCATCGAACGCGGTGGGTGCACTGTGGATATTTTAATCGATCGTGAAACGCGAAGCAGGTGGCGTCAGCGCGCTCGCGTCGAGCGTTGAGCGCGTTCGTTTGAGTGTTGTGATTCTTTTCAAGAAGCGCGAGTAGCCGTCCGCTCATCACTAGTAGTCGCCGAAATCCCGAACAAAGTGGGACGATGGCGCTTCCGCGTAAATGTCCGACGTGTGCAGCGTCACAGGCGCCGATTCGCCACGCTCTATCCGTGACGGAGTCGTCATCTTCCGCTTCATCGCGGCGCTTGGTCTCGTGAGCGTCATCTTTGCCGCTGCAGATTCTACGAGCAGATGCGCCAATTGCGGCTCCAGATCGTCGACAACCTTGCGCATAATTCCCATGACATCTTCGAGCATCTCATCCAGAACGTTGGCGGTCGGTGGCCTCGCGTGCGCGTCGCCCGTGTGATTCGTCTCTTGGATGATTGATACGATGCCCGCGGCTGTTTCTGAGTGCCCGAGGTGGCTTTTTATTGACTCGAACGTCGGTGGACGGTCACTATCTGCGCGTGCTAGGACGTCGAAAGCGGCGCCGA